CTGCGATAGCCTTTCCTAATTTAGCAGAGATAGACGAGAAGAAAGGCAGCTAGTCAACACCACCCACTCGCCAATTCTTGGGCTACTCTTTTTACCAACGTATAGTGGAATTGGTCGTCATATGATAACGCACCCACCACTGAAACGGCAAGCATGTTCGGTGTGACGGTAATTTGAACTCGCACCCCTCAGATTGCGAGTCATAAATCACCAGATCATAAAGATGGGGTCAGGTCAAGAATTAAAAATTTCCAAGACTGGGATGTCTTTTCTACTTAATTTCATTGGAAAACAAATAAATATGGATCAATTGGAAGCAAAAGGATCATTCAGAAATTGACTTAAATCAAGTCGTACCCTAGAATAGATAGGCAAAATGCGACATGTTGTAACATAAAGGTCAGTGGAAAAACCATCCACGTGCTCTAGGCAAAAGTTTGAAACAAAATCAAGGAGAATCTTGGGCTCTAAGAGCAATATAAGCTGCTTCCATGATATATCCAGGAGAAAAAAGCCTAAATGTACAAAATAGAATGAAAGTACCCGGCGAGAAAAGATACCAATATGTAATGACACTCGATAAAGTATTTGTGTATCTGGATAACTGTAAGAAGTATTGGGCCAGTTTCTACTGGTCAATGGGTGAAAATAATTTTAAAAAGAGGGATTCATTATCACCAATGAATATTGTGCCACGTGGAAGTAAGGAACCAGAATAGTAGTTGTGATGGTCAAGGTGAACACTTGTTATTATTATTGTCATTGTCATGGAATCTTTGTACCACACAGAAACATTAGTTTTTTACAGAAACAATGAGAACCACTCTTTTAGTGCAAGGACTAAGACAAGGTTTCTCTTAATATATCGCGTAAAACGTAATCCCACGGTAGTTGAGTTAAGCCATAAAAACCTTTCAGAAGTGCATGCGTTGAAATATAATCTTTCTCCAGGTGCATAAGAAAGAGAAAAAACATAATCTTCCTTTTTGTATATGAATTACGATAAAGTAATCCACAAATATTAAAACATTATAGCGTGTAATTACTAACTATAATTATACATATACACAAACATAAAAAGAAAGATAGAAAGTAAAAGATAAAGTTAATTCGAAATGGAACAATGAAGTGTTATCGATAATGGTTTTAAAACACCCATATCTGTACAACTTATTATAAGGAACTTTGAATCATAGTGATAATTGTAATCCATCAGAGAAAATAATGATGTCAATAAATACCAATTTGAGCTTCGGTGACTAACAACAGTTACAAGACAAAGAATATATAATGTGATAGATCCATAGAGTAGAAAAACAAAAGTGACAAAGATATAAAAAAACGTATATTTTCCAATTTGGCATTCTTTCGAGAAATTAATTACGTTATAAATGTATAATACACTACATCGTAAGGCATATAAGAATTTAAGTAAAACTCATACTTGAAGAAAAGTAATTAAAAATTGTTTTCAGTTGTATTACCAGTGGTTTGCGAATTTTAAGACACGGTTTGTGAGATTTAAATTTCTGATCAACGCAACTATTTGGATACACAATTTTGATAGATATACACGTTACTATTGAACTCATTGCAGTTTCGTCTTTCAAGAATAGACTGACAGCTAAAACTACCCATGACTGATACCTCTATTGCTATACGCAATTTGTCTTATATCGTTCTTTAAATATTTTTTTTAGTAAGAGATCTTACTTCCAGAAATTGTTGTAGTAAGAAAGCTTACAAAAATCACGAAAGAAAAGTTCACAGAATTCGAAATCCCTTTCCCCCAGTACTTGGTGTAATGACAGGTTCATTACTCAACCGTGGATGAAAAAATTACCCACGGATAACTGCGACCGGCTAACCATGAAATCAGCCGATAATAGTTCACTGGCGATCACTTGCTGATAAAGTGCACAAAACATTTAGGCTTATATTCGGTAATATCGGCAACTCTGCAAGTGGAATATCTAAAGTAAAGACTAGGCGGATCTGCAAGATCTGCACTTACCAAAAACCCCATGATATCCGTAATATTATATACACCTTCTACTATAAAGATTGACTTACCCTTTCTAAATGATAAAAAAGTGCCCTAACATAAAACTGACGTTTCTAGCCATCATTTAATGAATAGATCAAGTTTAACTTTATTAAAGACATTCTTGTACATATAATAAATATTTCTTGTCGTTGTTTTTTTTTTGTTAGTTTGTTTAATGTTGCCTTTATTTATTTCGTGTGTCACCACATGAAATAATATACTCAAAATTAATGTTAGATGGTTCCTGCGTTTTGAAATTATTTTAGTGTTTATTGTTTCATTTCGATTGATTAAATGATCCTTATGATCATACTTTTATTTCTTAATCAAATATTCATTGGACACAAAAAAGTACAATTTAAACCACTGCAGTAAATTTCGACTGTCCCAGTGCCTTCAACTTAAATCAATTAATTAAATCAATTTAAGCAATTAAACAGTAATTGTAGCTTACTTTGTGGTTTTCAGTCAGTTAATTACTACATCTTAGGACACAAAGGACAATGAAAAATGTTCTCAAGACAAGCATGTAAATCTAAAAGGGAACTGACATATCATTTCGCCATCTCAATAAAAATAACAACAGCAACAATAAAATTCAGAAAACGTTGTTCGAACAATCGTCTGAAGTAATATGATCAGCATTACATCGATTTAAAGTTTTATTGGTGCATTATCTTGTAAGTGTATTTTAAGATGTTAGATTTTATAAAATTTGTTTCTTAATGGATTTCATTAACATGCGTTTATTTTGTTTTCTTCATTATTACAGACAACTACCGACGTGTATAATTTGTAACTGGATAACTTCATATTAAATGAGTAGATTAATTGCAACTTTTAATGAGTAGATAGCCTTGTACGTGTATATAAAAGACGCGAGGGAAATCTTTGATCTCAGTAAACACTGAAAATGTGATATCTGAATGAACACCGACCATGTAGCACATTTCAATCTTCCTTTACCTAAAATACAGAAGATTATCGTATTTGATTTATGGGAACTTAGGTGGGTAAAATATCTCTATTTAGTATATCCTGTTAATGTATGTATCTCATTTCTTCGTTTGAATACAAAATTTGTTGAAAATATAAAATATAATGGTTTATTTTATTTATGTGTTTAGAATCCCAAAACGTCCAACGTCAGCTCTCCACAAGAACTAGCTGCAGTGAGTGGTGTGATCATTGGAATGTACAAGGTAAGGTTACTACTGGTATATTTGTTTAAATGTTTAAGGTATAAGTCATTGGAATGTACAAGGTAAGGTTACTACTAGAATATTTGTTTAAATGTTTAAGGTCTTGTACATTCCAATGACTTATACTTTTAACATTTAAACAAATATACTAGTAGTAACCTTACCTTGTACATTCCAATGACTTATACCTTAAACATTTAAACAAATATACTTAGTAGTAACCTTACCTTGTACATTCCAATGACTTATCTTGGACTTTTGTGTGGTGTTGAAACATCTATTATGCCAAAGTACTATAGAGCAACAGTATTTTGAGAATTTCTATGTTAATGTGATTATATGTGACCTGATTGATCGTTGTAAATAAGATTTCACTGCAACAAAAATGTAAAATAGTTATACACTCAAACACGGAATAACGTTTTGTCTAGGATATCATTACAAGTCACAAATACTTTAAATTTATTAACTTTCCTTTTCTGCTGATAAGACTAAACAACAAATATATATCAAATATGTTTCTACTAAGAAAGTTATTAACCAAATGTTATTTATAAAATCTTTGTCACCAAATGCTTTCTATATTAAGGTTATCTTTCAAATCCCATGAAAATTCCCATTGCCATATATTTTCCGGTTTCGTCAGTCGCTCGTTTTATTATCAAGAAAAAGAAAATAAACTGGTTAAACCAAATGTAATGCTGACAATAAATCCTAAAGTGAGGAAAAGTTAGTGGTGGCATGATTTATTGGACCTATTGGTAGAATAGATGCACGAGCATATGATATGAATATCGTAAGCCAAGAATCGCAATACCTATTCATAAAAAGTATAGGAAAACACTATTTCTTTGTATTGGAACATAACTTGTAACGCCATCTCTCGTTCAAGTTAGGCAATTGCTGTTCAACTTCAAAACAATGGAGGCCTGATTGCAACTTAGCAGTCCACTTGTAGACAGATTGATAATTAACATTCTGGATTCGATAATTTTATTTGAATGCTGGAACATATAATAACTGTTTACCGTAAGGATAGAAATTCGTAATGCTTTGTTTCTTCGAAATCCGAAACAAATGATGTTTTTAAAATTCTTATCGTGTAAATTTTATAACAGTTTTTAGACCTGTTGGTTTACTAGTATTTCACCGGCTTTCAACGTGGGAGCCGTAACTTTTAAGATTATTGTTACATTGATAGGAAAACTCATTTTATTATGCTAGACTAACGAGAAGAAAGTTTAACTTTGTATGCATAAAACGCCGATAAAGAAATCATATTCTAACATCAAAGATGATATATTATGGGAATTTATAAGTGTGAGTTGGTGTATAATTTGTTTATGTCCTCTCCTTTCAGGGAAATAAAGTTGTGGTCAAACCACTACGTGTCAGCAAGCTGAACTTGTCTCGCCAAGTAATGGTCGAATTAAAACAGGTCAGTCTGTTGCTCTTTGTTCCCCGGTGGGACAGCGGTACGTCTATGGACTTACAACACTAAAATCTTGGGTTCGATTCCCCGCGGTGGACACAGCAGATGGCCTAATGTGGCTTTGCTCTAAAATATACATGTTGTTACTCTTTAACGTTTATATATATATATATATATATATATATACATATTTCAAACATTGGTATCAGTTTCATGATTCATTTCATTTTCAGAAAAAAATGTAGTGTAAAATGCTGTTAGTGAGAATAAATTTTTTTTAGTTGTAGTTAAGCACAAAACTACAAATGGGCTATCTGTGCTCTGCCCACCACGGGTATCGAAACCCGGTGTATAACTTTGAAGTCCGCAGACGTACCTCTGTGTCACTGGGGAGAAAGAGGGTAAATATATGCTGAGGTTATATAGTGTAAAGCGCTGTCAGTGGGGATAAATATGTACTGAACTTATGTAGTGTAAAGTACTGTCAGTGAGGATAATTATATGCTGAACTTATGTATTGTAAAGTGCTGTCAGTGAGGATAATTATATGCTGAACTTATGTAGTGTAAAGTGCTGTCAGTGAGGATAATTATATGCTGAACTTATGTAGTGTAAAGTACTGTCAGTGAGGATAATTATATGCTGAACTTATGTATTGTAAAGTGCTGTCAGTGAGGATAAATATATGTTGAAGTTATGTAGTGTAAAGTGCTGTCAGTGAGGATAAATGTGTGCTAAACGTATGTAGTGTAAAGTTCTGTCAATGAGGATAAATATATGTTGAAGTTATGTAGTGTAAAGTGCTCTCAGTGAGGATAAATATATGTTGAACCTATGAATAAGGTAAGATATAAGAAACAATAGTAGATTTTCCTTTAAGTCGATACTCACTTCTAAACTTAAAGGAAACGGAACGGTGGGTGTCCTGAGGAGTATCCAGAGGTAGAAAAGGATAGGGGAAGAGAGTATTTTTGAGATTTTTAAAACGTTTATTGACAAAGGAAACAAAAAAAAAGGAAAACAAATCAGAAATAAATCCAAATAGTCCAACCATTGCTGTAATATATGGAAAGTGAATGAGCGATTAGTGCATGTACAAGGTTATCAAAGCGCACAGTTGGCGAGCATCCTGACTCTATCAAACTGATGTTTGTAAAATATAATTTCTCTTTCATGCTATATATAGTTTTAAATAGTTATAGACTGTCTGCGCTCTGTTCACCGGGGGGGATCGAACACTGGGTTTTAGCATTGTAAGCCCGTAAACTTGCTGTTGACATACTAACGACTTATTTTATGGGTATTGACTTCAACACTCATAAAATAAAATCAACAAGAACCCAGGAAAGTAGAGCCAGATGGCTCAGCTGTACGCTTTACGGCTATAACGCTAAATTTCTTGACTCAATCCCCACAGTAGGCACAGCAAGTGTAGCCTATTGTACAAGTTTGTGCTTAGCAAAAACAAAAAAATTATATTTAAAAGTTCAATTTTAACACTCGAATGCTTAAAATATTGTATGTGGTTTCAAGATTTTCGAAACCAGAACGAACCAACTGAGAAATTGAAACAACGTTCTGGCTGAAATTAGGTTATTTGGAAAAGTACTTATCACTGATGCCGTTTTTCAAATTCCTTTGAGTGTAATTTATTTTAGCCTATTGACTTTCATATTCCTCTATACTCTACCATGCTTATGTTTTTGTTTTGTTTTTCTTCCCAGGTCGGCATTGATAACAAATACATCTTAAGTTCATTCTGATATTTTTATTGAATATTATGAAATTTTTGGAGACAAACAGTTTAGAAAAGCTCTTGTCTTTACTTTCAAGTTTGATAATTTTATCTTAAAATGTAGTGCTTTTTGAGCTAAAAAGAGTCATTTTAACTCAGTCTGTTTTTTGTTTTTTTTTGTATTCTATTCGCCTTGCTTGTGAATTTGTTTTATTGGTTACTTTTTTTAAGTTTTCGTACAATAATAGTGTTTAACTACTTTATTTCAACTGTGTGATTGGCATTCGTTATCAAACTTGATGATACATGTTGTAAAATAGATTATGTCAAAAAACTTTTCGTGGTCCTCTAAGAATCAGAAGATGTTATTTTTTCAAGATTACAAAAAAATCAGACTTGAATAAGGGCAACATTGAAAGACAAAAGACAGTCTCGATCACAAACAGCACTGAAAGGTCAAAGGCAATCCTGATTAATAACACTGGAAATATCAAATCCAGTGCAGATTACCAAAGACATTTGAAGATCAAAGTCAGCTTTGATTGTTGAAGAAACTGAAAAGTCAAAGACTGTTTTGACAACTGGCTATACTGAAATATTAAGCTAAACTCTGAAGAACTACATTGGAAGCCCAGGACCTCATCAATGGTTTTGTAAGTCCAGAATTACCATTGACTGCTGACGATATTGAAAAAACAAAAGAAAGTCTTAGTTACTGGGTACACTAAAAGGGTCAAAAACAGTTCTAATTGTTTATTATATTGAAATACTAGAGGCAATACTGACTACGATCACATCAAGACCAGAATTAGCCATAACTATTAATCACATAAAAAACACGATCAACATATATTTCAATAGATACTAACAGATAAAAATAATTCCTGAATTTCGACCAAACTGTGTAATCAGAGACAGTCTGAATTACCAATAACACTGAAAAGGAAAATAAAAACTATGATTTTGTTTGTGAATGAAACCCTCACAACTAAGTAATAAATCCCTATTTGATTAAGGAAATTTAAGCTACTAAATAATCATTTCATTTAGAATAAAAACGAACATATAGCTCAAAACCTTTATATATATATATATATTTGTAACTTGTTTTTCTCTTTTGTTTATTCTGTAGATAGGAGAACTTACCCATGAAAACCTGGTGCGTTTCATAGGGATGTGCGTTGATGAACCAAACTACGCTTTGCTCACAGAACATTGTATTCGAGGAAGTCTTCGGGTAGGCGTGGTTTCTTTGTCGTGTATGATACATTCAATAAGAAGGTGACATAAGTTTTAGAATACACTTTTAATGAAAACTGAAACAAGTAATCTGGCTATAAAACTAAGTAAGATGTCTAATCAAGTTTATTCAGTGTTAAATTAATGATGTTCAATTCTTTCCTGTTCAACTGTGATATGTGAGGATGTGATGTGTTTTCTACCTTATTTAGGGATTGTTAAGATTTTGCTGTTATTTACTTTCCGTAGTGTAAAGCTGGCAACATGTGGTACAGAAGGTCACTAAGACTAAGTTGTTCTGGTTATTTAGTTTCCGTACTGTAAAACTGGCAACATGTGGTACAGAAGGTCGCTAAGACTAAGTTCTTCTGATTATTTACATGTGGTACAGAAGGTCGCTAAAACTAAGTTGTTCTGTTGTTTGATTCATTGTTCTCTTTAGTATACATTGTTTATTATGCCTGAAAGGAAATTTCAGTACCATATAGAAGTCCACATGAAAGAACTGGCACTGTAATATCTTTTGCTGGTCGATTACGACGTTGACTAAATGTGACAGACGACCAATGCCGTGAGGGAATAAAGGTCACTAGATGACGCTGTCGACTGAGCAAATACATCAAATTAACCTATTGAATTCAGTCACGCTTTCTTTGCCCAGTTCTAATTGGTTTTCTTCATGATTAATCCGATATAAATTTATCTTCAGGGTCTGAAAGCTGACGAGCTATTCATTGATCCAGTAGAGGCGATCACCCACTTGTCTACTACTTTTTTTTCTTTTGTTGTTGTTGTAGTTTTGGTTATTTTGTCTAAATAGAAAATATTGTTTCACTGCCCTTCTAATGTGTCCAATCTGTTTACTGCTCGTGCAACATAAAACTCAGCCAAGTTATCAACTACAGAACACGAGTTAATTACGGGTTTGTCTGAAAATGCCAAGTAACTCCTGTTTCGAAATAAGAAAGAAGAAACATATTTAAGGATCCAAAGTTATCTTTCTTCTCACTATAATGAACATAACAAGTATAGGTTGTGTAGTTATCTTATGGTCAGAGTCTGGCATAACCTGATGGTTAGAGCGCTCAACTCGCAATCTGCAGGTTGTGGTATCCAAACAGATATAAACTAGTCACCGAATAAGCTCGTTTTTTCAGCTGAGGGGACTTTATAATGTGGCCGTAGCTCCCAGTATTCTTTTTAAAGAGCAGCCCAAGGGTTGACCGTAAGCGGTGTTGATTGGCTTCCTTCCCAGTAGTTTACAACTTTAAAATTAGTAACGGCTATCGCAGATAGCCCTTGAGTAGCTTTGCCAAAAATTCACCAGACAGACAAGTAGATTCGGGTAAGATAATTCAGGCGTGGCTGTGTTTCAATACATGTAGACAAATTGTCTAGTTTAAACAAGCCACCTGGTGTTAGAATGCCTAAAAAGAAAATTATGTACACCATTATTTATTGTATCCTTGAAATAAAGAAATATCACGATATTAAAAACAAGTTTAAAATCACATTCAAACTGAATTAGTGTAAAAATCCCTCTTGTTTCACTAAATTTTACTTTTATTTCTCAAAATTTATTTGAAGTTTTATAACTGAAAACAGACTGCGTTTGAAAGGTCAAAGCAAAAAATTGTGGAAAAAAATTGAATTGACATGACTATATGATTTTAAAGTAGTCAGTGGAACTTACTTCATGACCAGTAGAAATCGCAACAGAGAATAAAACAAATAAAACTGACAGAGTCATTTCTATTTTTATCTGGTTAATGTTTTGATACATGACTGACCTTATGACTATAGCTATGTTCAGATTTTATTCAGATGCCAATTTATTAATGGCTGAATGCCAGGGCATCGACCCATGTATAACATCAGATAAACACATCATACTATGCCATCCAATAATGTTACCTGATTGGTACTCCTAACATATACCATTCTGTCCAAATGTTATAGTCATGATCCTAATTACCTTGCTATTACTCTCTCATTACTACTCGCATACATTATTCGCTTACTTCTGAAACTGTTAGTCATGAAATAATCGCTGAAAAAGTTAAGAAAGTAGTATTCAGTTTAAGCCATCTTTCTACCGAAAGCTAATGTTTCATCTGTTTTGTATTTTTTTAACCATCGCTTGGACTTAATTAATTGATTATCTATGAGCAACAATTACGTCGATTAGTGTCACGTAAACTAATCGATTAATCGAAATTAGTCCTTTCGATTATTCCAACAATCGAGTAATTTAAATTTCGAGTAGACCAACTGTCACGAAATAATCAACCACTCGAAATTACGATTTCCAATTATAACTATTTTCGATTTTTCAAATTATCTAAATAATCGAAATATGGTTATTATGTTTGTTTCTGTTAAAAACTACACAATGGGTTAACTGTGTTATGCCCAGTTTAACCCCGTAAGTGGTTGTTATTATTACTTTGTGATTAGAAGTAAAAAGTACTGGGTCGTGATATGAATGTCTTGGGTTGATTCCCGTTGACAACAAACTTGCTCGCCCTGTCTTTGTTATAGAAAATATATTAAGACTATCTGCCACTGTCACTAATTTTGAACTGTTAACGAAGGAGAAGGTGACAGTGTTGCAGCATCCAGCACCTTATTTTATTTTTACTTGTATGTACTACGGTTTGAGAAGCACTGTGTCAATCAAATAATCAATTAGTTGGGCCGTTAAACTTTAGTTCGTACAATAGTCCTGTTGATTTAAAGCTGTCGACACTAGTTTCTACTAGTATTCAGACAGGAATCTACTCGATCTAAATTCGTCCACCCATAGTGTTAATCTAGGATATGGACTGTAACTTGATGAAGACTAAGGTCCCCTATCTGTATATCCACCCTATACTGATACTAAGTATTAGGGTTCTCTTTCTTTTGTAAATTAGGGGATTTCTGCGGATTAGGGTGTGGTTTACGGAGCCCGTTACTGTCTGATATATAGGTGCTCTATGCGAATTTTCATGTTTCTATTGACAACTCTCCTTCGAAATAATATGTCATTTAACTTAATCTCGTTCAACAACATGAACATTTCTTCGTAAAGGTTCATGCGTATATATGTTGTTTTATACATAAGGTTTACCATTGCAGTACTGAACTATTGATCGATCTGGACTTCATTGTGAACCAAATACAGATAATAAATACTACCTTTCTTGCCAATGCAAGAAAATATACATATACAGTGCGATTAACCCTCTGTACATTCTTCAGCCGTTAATGTTTTTATAATCACATTAGATGAATATCAAGTCGTCATAGAATCAATGTTAATAGTCTGTATTTTTTATAAAAGGACATGTTGGAAAAGGATGCCATGAATATCGATTGGACCTTTCGATACTCAATGGTCAATGATATCCTTGAGGTAAGTCCACTCCACTTAGAATTGTATATATATAGGTCACTTACACATTTAACATCAAGAGTGTTCATAAGATAAACATTCAGTATATATTTTATGTAGACAGCTGATTATGTCGTGATCATTCTAAAAACAAGTACTAAATCTTCTTATATTTTCATTCAGAAAAAAATAATAAATACTGAAAGTTCTTAGTAAAGTCCTGTAAATTTAAGAAAACCTTGAGCACTACAGTTTTCTTACAGAATAGTTACCACAGAAATTCAATAATATAAAATTGTTTTAATAGTTTAAACAGAAAACGAATTATTTGCGTTTCAAAATTAACTACACATTGTTGTTGTTGTTTGTTTTGTTTTTTTTCAGAATATTTTCATTTCATTTAAAATATCATATATCTTATCTCTATAATCACATTAATAGTCAGTACGTTACTTTGATAAGTGGCATACTGTATTAATGCATATCAAGAAATAGGTTTCATTACATGTCACTTATAATTCATGGTCAGTAAAATCATTTAATATAACTTATTTTATATATAGTTTAAACATTCGTTGTTTTTCATGTGTATCTAACTGGGGTTGGCATTAGTCTTGTAATAAATGAAGTTTATGGGTGTTAAATGAAAATAATCCAGATTTCGTGTATTTGTTTGTATGTAGAGTTCAAGTGGAAGAGAACGATATGATCCAGTGATAATATAGTAATAACTAATTTCTATATTCCATTTTTGCTACGTTTTTTAACTATAAAAACAAGTTGTTGAACAGTTCCACAGTTTAACATTTTTGTAGAAAGATTATTTGTCATTTTTGTCTTGTGAACATATTTAGGTGTTACTTCAATAAACTAAATTAGTGAGATCTCATTAGGTGTTATGACAGTTTAAATGTTAAATTGATAATTTGATACAATATTTCATAATGCTACAATAAATAATTATAATTTCAACTAGTAGGAAGTCATTCAAACTAGGCATGATTAACGAATTTATACCCAGATCTTTAAATATTCTTATATGCAAAGGCATTTAAATTGTAAGCTTTTTTCAATCAATTTTAAGGTAATATGTTCATGTACCTTTCATTCTGGGGTTAGTTTAATAATAAAATTAATATCATTAATATATTTTATTCGTGAAGTGTCATTAATAATTTTCTATAGTTTTTTTTTGTTACTTTACTATAAAAAAGTATAATTGTTCTGTATAGTTAGCTATAAATGTTATTTGATCCTGTTGTTTTTAACCACTAATATTTTACTTGCATATGCATTATGCTTATTCGTTGCTTACTGAAAGGTTTGAAGCTACGTTTATGCATAACAGTATGTGAAAACCAAGCTTAAAAACAATATAGAACTCTGATTCAGAGTTGAATTATAAGCTTGTTTCGTAATTACGCTATATCGTACTCAACTCTCTCACCCACTGACCAGTTTTTGCTATATGCGTCTGGTCATTATTACGTTTTAGTGATTTTTATAAAATATAAAACAAGAAGTGTGTGTTGTTGAATCATTTGTCCTAGTGAAAAACTTGTTATCATCTAGATTTCTTTTCATTTAAAAAGACATATACATTAGTATTTTGTTTCTGACATAGAAGGATACAATTCGGAGCAGTACTTACAAATAACATATAAATATATATCACATGAACTGAGTCTCTTCTCAGCCATCATTAATACATTGATATTTTTCTTCTTTTGTAAGGAGATTGGTTGATTGCATGTTTTATTTTTTTAATATGTCTATTAAGTGTTCGATAAACCGACTATTACTAATAGGGTGAGTTATGTAATTAACTTCTGACGTATTGCAGGGTATGAAATATATTCACGACAGCTCACTTGAATTTCACGGTCGTCTAAAGTCAACCAACTGTGTGATTGACGGACGTTTTATGGTGAAAATCACTGACTATGGCCTGAAATATGTACACGAACAGATTGATTTAGACACTGAAATAAATCCACGTAAGTATTACAAGATTTACTTAGAAAGAATAATTGTCACATCATTTTACTGTGAGTTGAACAACGATTAGGATGAACGGTACAACGAGGTTCCAGGAAAATACCAAATATTAAATTTCAACTTTATTTATTCTCTAATGTATAACTTTGTTCTCCAAAAGTTTCATTGGAATCGCTTGCATTAAAGATCAAGATATTTGTAATTGTCGATCAAACAAGTCTAACTACTTGCAAAATCAGTACATGCTTTGCTCGTAATAAAGCGTCATTTAGAGCGTTGTACGGATGAGTTCGGCTTTCAATGTTTTTATAGCACTGAAATTCTACTTTAAGCCTTGCAAGGATGAGCTATTTCTGAATTGTATTGCATATAATTATAAAAGTAGCATATTAATACTTAGGATCTGGTTCATTCAGAAATGTTGCTCTTCTTATGTATATAAAGTTTTTATGCAAAACTTAAAGATCTGGCCGATCGATAATATTCCATGTTTTAATTATGCAACAGTTTTGGTAATATATACTGGATATTAATAGCGATTTTTATTAGTTATTTAATGAGTTGTTCTTCTTTCTCTTTACATTAATACATTAATTGCTGACTGACTCATTAAACCTCATGATCATTTATGTTCCTTTATGATCTAACTTTTGTAAACTGACATCATCGAAAGGTCATTTTGAAAACGTTTCTTTTAGATGTAGACTTAACACATTCTTCAAGACACTAGAGACAGCTACGATTGTTTACTTGGTTCTCTACATCAACAACAGTATATTTTCAAATAAACTTTTGTTTCGCAGATATTTTGTATGTTTTTTTTTCATTTTCTTGTATACAAATTTAGCACTGGGAGAACAAACATTTGTCAGTAAAACCGGGTTTACTCTTTCGGTCTGTTTTGATTGAATATTAACATTTCTGATTCTAGGTTTTGTCTTATTATTTCAAAACTATAATACGAAAGGGATGATATTGTTTCTTACTGTTATGCTTATGAAATCGTTTTTCATTTTCACGAGCATCTTAACTTTGTTTTTGTTTTTCTGTTTTAAGTTTGTAACTGCGGACTTAACTTTGATATCAAATAAAGATTCTAACGCAATACTCAAATATATATATAATTCTTAGTTGTACAGAAAATGAGTACGTTACATTAAAACGATTTTAGGGCCTCAACACGTTGTCACAGCCAAGTCGAACATGCTCTATTTGATTACCGCGTTCTTAACAACAGCCCTGAAGCGTAATTCCTATTTCAAATGGTTCTTTTGTAAGGCAGTCATGTCCAAAGCATATCAATTCTCCCTATGAGCTTTCTATAATCCACCTAGTGTACGAGGGCGAAAGTTTCCCATCGCACTTTTTAACAGTCCGATGTTTGTGTTATTATTCATCAAACAATATCTCATTGAAAATCGAAAACAAAACTTATAAGCCACTTCACATGCTGTTTGGCTTAATTTTAAAAATGGACAGTCAAAAAAGCACAGAAAATCCCAATGAAAACGTGAACAAAAGATATACTATAATATCCAGAAATAGTCTCTCCTAAAACTAATAAAAATAACACTCATACAGTCTAAAGCCTCTTAAAGTTTCTGACTTACACCTAAGGTGACAGCTAGCTCGAAGTTTCTTTAAATCCAACTTAGTTGTCCTTAGCTCTGTGATAAAAAAAAAATATAGCAATTGATTAAACTTTCAACCTTTGACACACCAAATTCTATAGTGCTGCTTTTCGAATCCATATGTTACAATAAATCTGATCAGAACATTGATATGCCTCAGCTGAATAAAGTTAGTGATGTCGCAATTTCCATATAACATCGAAATATTCTTAAATGTTCTTCTAACCACCCGAACTTAGCAGTTAATGTTTCTACTAAAGTTACGTCCTACTGTGAGCATGTACTTTAAGTTAAAGGCTTCCACGTTTTTATTTTTATCATGATTTCAAACCGAGATATGATACTCTTCAATTAATATAACCTCAGTATCCGGGAACATTGTTATATACCATCCACGAAGTGGATGAAATTTTGTTTACAGTTAGCATAGTATAATTATGTTGTCAGTATTGGGTATGAGAAATACAATGTTCATTCCAATAAAAACATATTACTTCAGATCATCCACCTTCTTTCTCACAGGATATTTTGTGTACAGAATGAAAGGCTTGGAAACAAAATTCCTCCCTTTCCGACAACCTTGTGAACTTTGAACCAATAGCAGAAATATTGATATAACAAAATTCTCTTAGTTGATCTAAGGAGTTACCAGGATATCAATAAATGGACCGAACATCCTATATGGGGCTAGGACTTATTAAGTCTTGATGTTGATCAGAGCTATAGTTAGCGCCAGGAAAAGCTCAGCTATTCATTACGTTAGATATCCCTATTTTACACAGTATAGCTTTGTTAAGTCGGATTTTTTTCTTTTGTTCTAGAAATATTCACGTGCATATACTCCTCTACGGCACCCAAAAAAAGGTATTTGTAATCATCAAACTAAGCTGATGAAAATTGACGAGAAATATATGGAAATTTAGGCTGCTGTGCGCTCTCTTCCAGAACAGGAACAGCAAATGTTATGTAAATTAATGGGAACAGTTGTCTTATACTTTAAGGAAGAATGTTAGAGTGTAATTTTATTCAAACCTGGAACGAATAAAACGTCCTAATTCACATATATATATATGAAACATGTTAATCGTACATATACAAACCATGTACATAGCTTTAGCAACAACATCAGCAAAATGTGTGTTTGTTCTTGGTGTTATTGTCTTTGTTTACTATTGATATATTGACAGATTTTTCGGAAATCTGATACCTACACTTTTCCATACGCAATCTCCCCACCCTAGCCATTTTGTTAATAAGTTGATTTGTTGTAGAGTTTATGAGTATATCTTTTGTTTATTTATTTTATTCAATCGTCGATAAAATTACATTTACTAAATTATAGTATTTTGAGTTTTTTTAATGGCTATACCTTCATATTTCCACTATATGTTCTGTATTCTAGTTACGATATAGCACAGTTACTATCATTAAATAATGTTAATGGCAACTCCAAGTTCATAGTTCTGCAAAACAACTTCTGGATCAGTAGTTATGTCACTTGACATGCCAGTATGTACTGTTAGAGTTCATATTCACAAAAGTTCATTTGGTTTTATTGACTTTACAGCCCAAGAAATAAGAAGAGAACGCATTTTAATTGAAAATACGACACACATCGACTTCGCATACTTCAAGTGAATGAATAGTGGAAATTTGCAAATAAAGTAACATGGCTAGTCACCTGATTCTTGTTTTGCATAGAAAATCAACTCAGGGATCACCATTAACAATATTTTATAACAATAGTTATGCCTTGTCAGAGGTAGAGTAATTCTGAGTAGTATATTTTCTACGAAGTGTAAGTTTCAGTTCAGTATAAAGCTATTCGTTCATCTGTAGGATAGCAACTAAATTCTGTTTTGTTTTGTTTTTACTGTATACTTACTCGACATTATAGTACTGTTCTGAGTATCACAATTAAACTTACAAATCTGAATTATATATGCACATTTATTTCTAGAGATTAAACCCAAAACGATGAATAAGTTTTTCCTCTCATTCAAGGATCCCTCTTTTGGATGGCTCCTGAACACCTTAGAGAACCTTTTCCTACCAAAACAGGTTCCAAAAAAGGTGACATTTACAGCTTTGCCATCATACTTCAAGAAATAATTACTCGATCGGGACCATTCAGATTAGAGGAAAGGCATGGAACCAACAAGGTTGTTATAGAGCCTGAAGGTCAGTCACATTACCAATGGCACTTACCGTATAAAAGTTAAATATAAATTTAGCATTATTTCAAATGACGTTTCACGAAAATAATACAAAGAGAGTTTATTTTCAAACAGAAATTTTGAACCGTGTCAAAATGGGAACAACGCCACCATATCGCCCAGAGATCGCCAATGATGAATGCTCAGCTGAACTAATGGACCTGGTTCGCGCTTGTTGGTCGGAACTACCAGGATGTAGGCCTAGCTTCGCAGACATTAAAGTTCAATTCAAGAAAATCACAAAGTACGTATAAAGATGAATGGAATATGAAAGTATATTTTAGCTTTGATGTGTTTTTTGTAGTACTTCTTTATAAAGCGTTTATGTTCCTGAACGATTGTGCATGATCATATGAATATTACATTATTGTTGAGGTCGAGTAGGCCATAGCTTTATGTGCAAGTGAACATTTTCGGGGTTTTTGTATACATTTTGAGTTTTAACTATACGCTTTCAAACTAGTTCGTTTTTCGACTGAATGTCTGTAGTGGAGAACAAATCAGAATGACTCTGCCATACAGAAGATTGAATACGTTATATTAAAACTATTTGAATAAGCAAATCAGCAAGACACGTGATAACCACAGCCGAAATAAAGTCGAGTTGTGACGGAATGTACCAAAACTACATTTTGACATCGCTTAACGTTTCGTAGGTAGTGGTCCTCTGCTAGGACAGCTGGTAAGTCTACGGATTTATAGTGCTTAAATTGGTTCCCCTCGGTGGAGATACGAGATAGCCCGAAGTGGCTTTGCTATAAGAAAAACACACATAAACACACACTCATAGTGTGATGTCACCGAAAACTGTCGTTTTGGGGAAAGATACGTAACAGCACTTTCCAATGCAAAATATTCATATACTCAGATCAATAATTCAGTTTTTACAAGACAGGGATATTCCTTGTATTTAGTAGCATTGGTAAACACAGAAATACGGATCAACTTGGTGCAACAGAATCATCCACAAACGATCTGCAATAGTCATACTCCGGCAGTGTTAAACAAACCGCAATAATAAAACGTAATAATCCATGAACACAAAGGTAAATGACAAAACGCCGTTCACGTGCCCCAGGCAACAAAAAAGTAACATAATCAAGAAAGATCTCCATTTGAAAAAGCGATACACAAAAAAAGTCTAAACAAGTTGCTCCCTCAACAAATCCATCGAACCAAAATACTCTAGGTGTTGGATAACATGCGAAACACCGGCACAATGTTCCATTATTATTCAGCGGAATAACGGGTTTTTTTTCTTCACCAAAACGTGCATTTCAGTGAAGAAAAGATGGTGTACAGGCCTAATCTATTCTTTGTTTCGCTACTTGCTCTGCAACAGACTAGTTTCTCTGAATTCATGTCTCATCAGTACTGCTTATAAATTGTAATTCGTTTGTACTGGGTTGCTCCTAACAATTAACAACCTGTTTAGTTTTCGTTTGTACTGGTTTGCTCCTAACAATTAACAACCTGTTTAGTTTGTTATTGCGCACTGTTTGTCTTATCAGTTAGTAGACTTGTACTGATTTTCTCCTAAATATTAACATGCTCATTTTGCTTTACTGCATAATTTCCTAACTAATTTATTTTGTCCTTCTAGTTATTAATAGTAAGTTCACTTTACTATACCATACTATTTTCCTGAATATCTACTTCGGCTGCTTTGGTTTTCTATTTTGATTAACATAGATACAACTAATATTTGATGACCTGGCATGGCCTGGTGGTTGTGGACGTTCGACTTGCAATCTACGGGTCGTGAGTTCGAATCCCTGTCACACCAAACATGCTCGCTCTTTCCGTCGTGGGGGCGATATAATGTGACAGTCAATCTTTGAAAAATGAGTAGCCCAAGTAGGTTGTGTTGACTATCCTTCCCTCTAGTCTATTACTGCTGAATTAAGGACGGCTAGCGCAGATAGCTCTCGTGTGGCTCCACGCGAAATTCAAAACAAACCAAACTTATACTTGTTGAAAAGACCTTTTGCTTTATTAGAAATATATGTTAAAAAAACAGTTTTCTATTTTATTTATCCAGCACAAAGTGCATGGATAAGGGCATGATTAATATGCTTACAAATATAGCGATCTTAACTCGGAAATTCAGGAAAGTTTGCCTCGTAAGATAATTAGTTAGCCAAATGAATAATTTAAATAGAAAATGGACAACCTAAAATTTCCAACAGAAATTATTAAAGTAAGGTAATAATCTATATTAAAGTAACACAGAGAAAAATATCTATTCCTGGCTCTTTTTGTCGCAAGTGGTTCAATGGCGAAATTTGACGCATAAAATTTTTTTTGGCGAAATATTTTTCAATAGTGAACCTTTCCAAAGAGGACTTTCCTGATATGACTTACAACGCTGCTTGCTCTAAAGGACTCATGAAGAACTTTAAAATAACTTTTATGGGAGTGTTTCCTCTAAACATGTATGATTGGTCTACATAAAATGGAGCAAATATGTTCGTTTTGAATTATTAGTTTGTTTGTTTGTTGGTAAGCGTTGTGAGCTCTCAGACTTATCAGTGAGCTACTGGAGGGCAAATTATTAGTACTGCGAAACAAACTGCAATTTGACAACCTATAAGGTTCTATAAGTTCTGCAAATAATATTATCTGAATAAAATGTGGACCCGGCATGACCAGGTGGTTAGGGAATCTGAGGGTCGAAGGTTCGAATTCCCGTCCCACCAAACGTGCTCGCCCTATCAGCAGTGGGGGCGTTATAAAGTGACGGTCAATCCCAATATTCGTTGGTAAAAGAGTAGCCCAAGAGTTAGCGGTGGGTGGTGACGACTAGCTGCCTTCCTTCTCGTCTTACACTGCTAAATTAGAGACAGCTAGCGCAAATAGCACTCGTGTAGCTTTACGCGAAATTCAAAAAATAAACTGAATAAAATATACATATTGTATTTCGATACACGTGTTATGTAACACAATGTGTAGCTTTGAATTTAAAACAAATAAACAATGGATAACATTATTATTTTTGCGATACAAAAATACTTCAGTTGATAAATGAAATACAAAGTTGAATATATAAACATAAAAGCCAGCCTCTAGGTAGTAGAAGTATTTCTGATTATATGTTTATTTTTGGAAACTTTGAATGAGTGTTTTCTAAGTTTGTGATCGAATTATGATTATTTTTGTTTACTGACTTTTCTATCAAAGCTACTCGAAAGCTATCTGAATTAGTCGTCCATAGTTATGAAGTGATAAATTATAAGGAAGGACTTACAGTCAACGAACTGTGACATTGACCGTCACATTATATCGATCCCACGGCTGAAATGGCGAGCATGTACAGTACAGGGATTCGATCTCGCGACCCGCATATTGTGAGTTGAACTCACTAACCACCAGAACATGCACACCAAGATGTAAACGAAACTAAATGTTCCAGACAATATGGAATTAGTATTCCTTTCTCTGCGTAATTTCCTTTAGATGACGAACTTAAAAAATCTCATTTCCTAAAGTTAATGTTTTGAATCTTAAGATAAAAGATATACCAACTAATAACACCAAGCTATTAAGTTTTCCAGGTGATGCTAAAAGTGCTTGAAACCTAGACTAAGGAAATTAGCTCTTAATGTTTTCTTTATCTAATTGGTCCAAGTAGGGGGTAGTGGATAGCGTGCCAAACTGTAAATTCGGAGGTTCATGGTTCGCATTAAGTAACATCGTGTTCCGCAATTTATGAAAGCCTTATAGGTGTGACAGTCAAATCGTACTATTCGATTAGAGTGGCCTGAGAGGTGACTATGGACGAGCGACCTTTCATTTAGTCTACCTATTTAAAATTAGGGAGAGTTAACGCAGTTAGTCCATGTGTGGCTTTGCGCGAATATCCGAAAAACAATTCTTAATTATTTTACATAATGCTAAGTACGATATTTCGAAATAACATTTCAAAAGTAAATAATTGATTAAGTAACCCAATTCCCGATACATTCACATGTAAAACTATGTAAAATTTGACAGAATTTTAGATATTACAAATAGGAAGTTTTTTGTTTGTTGTTAAGCATAAAGCTATACAAAGGGATATCTGTGCTGTAACCACCACGGGTATCGAAACCCGGTTTCTAGCGTTGTAAGTCCACAGACATGACGCTGTGCCACTGGGGGACCAAATAGAAAGTACCACATAGAACTAAATAACAACCCTCTAGTCAAAAGACTTGTTTGTTGTTAAACAAAAACTACACAACAAACTGTCTGTGTCCAAACCCAGTTTTTTAGGGCTCTAAGCCTTCAGACTCACTGCTGAACCTTTGGGGAGGGGAGCTAGTTGAAAGATCGAAATAAATTTTGAACCTTATTCTTCGACTTCACAAAAGGGTTACTTCTTTTGGCTGGAGTAATATTATTGAAGTTTATGTTCTGTTTATGAATTAGTAAAAAATAAAATCTAAATGCATAGAATTATAAGAAAATCTATGATGTAGATGAACGAAAAAATATCACAAATTTTGGTTATATACGTTAAGTACATGATTTTAAATAGTTGAATGGCTCTTTGACCTGTGAGTGTTGCATACTGAGGTCAGCCGTAATACCTCACAGTATCGAGATTATTTACAAAGTGTCTTTAAAATATATCTGCAATCATATTGTAAATTTTTACAAAAACTGAACTATTTTTCAAAACAAAACACACATTTTCTTTGTACAAAGACTTGTAGAAAAATTTGCGTTTTTATGTTTCCAGAGGTGCATCCAATCAAAACTTTCTTGATAACTTGCTGGCCAGAATGGAACAGTATGCAAACAATCTTGAACAGCTGGTCGAAGAGAAATCTAAGTCACTAATTGAGGAGAAGAAGAAAACGGATGAGCTATTGTGTCAGCTCCTTCCAAGGTTGGCACAATCTTATACTTGTAATTACTGAATACTTTGGGCTATTACTAAAACAAAATTTATTTTCATGCGTGTGCCTTAGTCCCAACTCATTAATTGCTACATGTTTTGATGACTACAAGATAGGCGTTTATCACATTTAAATATTTCTGCTCCATAGACCTTCCAGGTTCCATCTCTGGAATCTATAGTATAAATATTGTTGTATATGCTGTATTGTTGTATATGCATAGATCAATTTAGTATTTGAAAATTATCTAAAGAATAAAGAGCTTAACAATGAAACCAGAGCTCCTTTCCACGAAGCTGTAATGATTTCGAATCTATTTAAAGATATAATGATTACATCATATAATTTTACCTATTTTATATTTCGAACCTCTCTCATTAGACCTCACTGGCACGTTTCCTATCTTCAAATATCATATGCCACCAATTAGATCAGATTATAACGTTCCCAATGACTTGTTTTCTGATGTAATAATTATTTTAGAAGAATAATAAAAATTAGTAGCTTCAACTGAGATATACGAATTTCTTGTAATTGTGAATAAATTTTCTTGCCTTTTTTCTATTGTTACTATGATGAATGTCTGTTTAAGACTGAATATGATTTTACAAATTCTGACGGTGGTTTTGGTAAAAAAATCCGACTTTGCTATGGACACTTTAAAAATTACTTTATTTCTAGTTTCATTTTAAGTTTATAGGGATTATTACACAGACTTTTAAGTTTACTTTCTAACATAAGTGAAGCGTAGTCATCTCATATTGTGAAATATATATCTGTATTTGATATCAAGTTCGGTACTGTTAGCTTGGCTATCTTTAATGATATATACTTTGGGATTGGGTGAGCTATATAGTGACGGTAAAATCCCATTATTCAATCAGACAGTAGTAGTCCAAGAGTAAGTAGTGGTTTTCTAATTCACTAGCTGTCTCAGTCTGTCAGTTTAAAATTAAGGACGACTAAATGCACATAGCTTTGTGTGAACTTTCTGAAACAAACAAGCTTCGAGTGGTAGTAAATATTATTCGTAAAAAGAAATGTAGTGTAAAACGAATAGATCACATTACTGTGCAGTATTTCAATTACATTTTTATTATCAATAATAGGGTGATAAATTCCCGTTAAGTCGTCATCATATTTATCAAACTAAGAATATTAATGGCTGGAGACCATTATTACTATTAACTAATACCTTAAGGATAAACCTTAGGCACTTGGAAAATGCTTATTTAAAAAATAATAATTATATAATATACTATCGTTAGTTCATACTTTAATGATACATATTAATGGCTGGAGATCATTATTACTATTAACTAATACCTTAAGGATAAACCTTAGGCACTTGGAAAATGCTTATTTAAAAAATAATAATTATATAATATACTATCGTTAGTTCATACTTTAATGATACATATTAATGGCTGGAGATCATTACTACTATTAACTAATACCTTAAGGATAAACCTTAGGCACTTGAAAATGCTTATTTAAAAAATAATAATTATATAATATACTATCGTTAGTTCATACTTTAATGATACATCATGGGGACTTAAAATATTTTTATTAAATATGAAAAATATACAAATATACAAACCTTAAGAATTATGACAGTTTTATTATATATATATATCAGCAATATGTATTCTGTCTTAATCTTTCAGATTTGTTGCAGAAGAGTTGAAGAAGGGTAATCACGTGAGGCCTGAAGCCTTTGAATGTGTGACTATTTTCTTCAGTGATATTGTTGGCTTTACAGCTCTATCGGCAGAAAGCACGCCAATGGAGGTACTTTATTGCCTTGAAACTGTTCTTTTTTTAATTTTTGATATTTTTGTGTGTGTTTGTCTGTTGTTAATCACAAAGCTATCTGTGCTATGTCCACTACAGGTATTGAAACCACGCTGGTTTTAACGTTATAAGCTTTCAAACTTACTGTTGATACACTAAGAGCTTTTTCGTTATTAAATTATTATACAATGTACCAAATGTTCACTCTCGACATTGTTTACATTTTGTAAACATAAGAGCGACTGATTTCAGAATTGAAAACGTATTTATTAACAAAGATATTTCAACTTAATCAGAATGGTTTTAGTTTGACCTTTAAAGTTCGTTATAAAACATCATATTGAAAAATGCTAAAGCCGAGAGGTAGAAGTTAAGAAATCTGTGTTAAAGTATGAAATTGGTCGCTTTTTTATTTGCAAGTATAATAAATCAAGTTCCATTATTCGATCACACAAAAGTTGCTCAAGTGTTGTCAGTGAGTACTGTTGTCTAACTAGCTGTCTTTCCTCTGTTAGAGAGAGTTATATACAGTTAAGTTTAGTAAAGCTTCGTGAGAAATTCTGAAATAAACAAACAAAATATCAAGACAAACTGGTGTATTTACGTGTTTTACACTCACCAAAAAGAAACCTATCATTCTATAGGTATTTGAAGAACTTGTAGCAATCCGACACAATTTAAGTCTTCGTATTGTTATCTGACACTGCGCAATTATTCAAAATAGCAAGTGTTGTGGCGTTGAATAATAAACATTTTGAAAGTAAATGTTGATAATTTTAAAGTTAACAAAAATTAATATAATTAAACTCAAAGGTCAAATTAAATTAAGAATTCAAAACTTGATAGTCCAGGTTGGAAATAAATTTTTAGACATAAAATCAAACCTGTGAAGGAATACAACGATAAGCATATCATTTTCATGTATTTTTACATATAACTTCAACAAGTATTTTACAGAATTTAAAAATTGCAACCGTGTTATGTATATGCATCGCAAGAGAGAAACCTGGGAAGTATTTGTGGTGATCAATTATAATTAACCAAGTCACCACGAATGTTTTACTCAGGAAGAGTGAGTGTAAGTATCTTATATAAAGACACGTAGTTACGGTATAAGTAGTGTACTGTATAGTGTTTAATACAGTAAGAACAGGTTGGAGTATTTGATTGAAAACGGCTGAAACACAGAGAAATCGATGAAGATATAATTAAAACAATTTTGTAGAAGCCTTTTAGAAAGTAGATCCGTTAAAATTTAATTTGAAAAAATATCTTCATGCTTTTATAATACATTCTTACGTTGTTTTTGTCCAGGTTGTTGACTTTATAATACATTTTGAAGGTAAATGTTAATAATTTTAAAGTTAACAAAAATTAATATAATTAAATTCAAAGGTCAAATTAAATTAAGAATTCAAAACTTGACAGTCTAGTTTGGAAATAAAATTTTAGACATAAGGTATGATACATTCTTACGTTGTTTTTGTCCAGGTTGTTGATCTTCATGCCTTTATAATATACACCTGGAAAAAAGTTAAGCACCCCCGTGTTTTTTTCAAGTGATTCAGATTCGACGTTCTTGTGA